ACTATCATACAGGCATGTATCATCCACGATGGAACAGCGACAGAGATTTGTCGCCAACAAGGGTTGACGGGATAGATTCGTTCATCAAAATGACGTGAAATATGCAATGCACGCAATATCGCCCTTCTATCTGCGCTTCCGCCTAAGACCTCTTCATCGCGCTTCCATAAACATTGCTTTGTTTTTTTCTGAAACACGAAACACCGACATCTAGTGACAATAAGGGTGGCATGATACCGGCTTCTCGCCGCCACCGCAGCCCGCTGGGATGCTCTCTAGGGAACACTCGAGCCACGGACACGTGTAGCGCTCGAAGACTGAACTTGTCAAGCCGCAGCGTGCAGCTGGTCGGCGCAGCCGAACTGCCCAACGCGACTGACAGTGACACTCAAAGGGCGTAAGTAGAATTCGGTCGGGCAACGAAGCTCTTTGCTCTCGCGATCCCTGACTATTCACTACCAGAAAACGTGTGTCAATCAAACTCGCCGTGACCTTTGCCGCTCGCATGTCATCAGCTGTTGATCCCCACACCAGATGGTGGACCTCGCTGCTGCACGGCCTTCGTCGGCCCCCGTCGGCTTCGTCGGCCGCGCTACCGAAGCGGACAGCTTCAGTCGTCGGCACACCCGGCCAGCGCAGGCGCCAGCTTCCAGGCGGCGTCCACGGCAGCTGAGTCGACGGGTGCCCCGCTTACGCCTTCGGGCGTACGGTGAAGAGTCGGATGACCGTTGGCTGCATCGGAGGGCTGAGAGCGCGTTGCGAGCGCGGGGTCATCACTCGTGACGCCGAGTGCTCGGATCAGTGCGCCATGCCGCGCTTCCTGAGCCGTGCATTCGGTCGACCTGCGCCCGCTGCTTGCTGCGTCGTGGGAAGACCGAGATTCTCCACTTGCAGGCTTGTTGACGTCGGGCACCGCGCGCGCCATTGGCACGCCTTGACGAACGACTTCTTGAAGTTTTCGCTGAGAGAAGGCGTAGAGGACGGGTTGACGGCGCTGTTGCTGTAGGTGAGCGCATACGCCAGCAGGATGACGCAGACCATGAACTGGCTGTGGTTGACGCGCGACTCACTGCTCACCATGAGCGAGAGCTGCGTGATCCAGAAGGGCAGGTAGCAGAAGAAGTAGACCGTGATGACGGTGAGCACGAGGCGCGTCACCTTGCGGTGGCTCTTCTTGCGCTCCTTCGACTTGTTCTTCGGGCCGACGTGGCGCAGTCTGTTGATGACGAGGATGTAGAAGACGAGGATCAGGATGACCGGCATGGCGAAGGACATGGTGAAAGTGTACAGCGTGAAGGCCTTCTCGCCCTTGACGCCGCCGACGCTCTCCGGCCAGAAGATGTTGCACTGGCCCTCGTATTCGGCAGCGTACATGAAGAGCGGCACCACCATCAGAGAGCTGGCCGTCCAAGCTGTCAGACAAACGATCTTGGAGACGAGAGGCGTGCGCCAGCGCGTGGAGCTGATCGGATGACAGACGGCCAGGTATCGGTCTGCGCTCATCACTGTCAGGAACAGGCTGCTGGTGAACTGGTTGATGCTGGTGATGGTCCAGTAGATCTTGCACATAACCATGCCAAAGGGCCACTGCCCCAGCGCCATCGTCGTGAGGATGAAGGGAATGCTGATGAGGAAGATCTCGTCGGCCACCGCCAGGTTGAAGATGTAGAAGTTGGTGACCGTCTGCATCTTACTGTAGCGCACGATGACGTAGATCACCAGCGTGTTGCCACCTAGGCCTATCACCATGACGATTGAGTACAAGATGGCGTTAATGATGGTCGTGTAGGGCACCGGACCGCCAGCCATTGGCCAGCAGCTGGTGGTCTCGTTGTCCAACAGTTGCAGGAACGAGCAATTCTCTGACTGGCTGTTATTGTCCATGTTGGATGACGATGTCTCTTCAGTTGCAATGTTCGCTCGCAACGCTCAGCTGTACTGAACGCTAGAAACGAGGGCGATTCACCGCTGGAAACAGTGGATGGTGGCCAGCTGCGGACAACTGGCGGGTGTCGTTTCCCTTCGACGCGGGTCAGCTGCGTTCCAGCCGTGTCACCTCCAGGCAGCTGCCGACGGTTTCGGTCGGCTCGGGTCAGCCCTGGCCAGCTCCTCTCAGCGCTGGCCGAATCAGACGCGCGTTCCGTTGGGTTGAGGCTGCCGCCGGTTTGCCGACCCGCCCGCACGATAGCAGCCTATCTTGCCGCTCAGATTGTTACATATGGTGTCTGCAAACAGCGCGATCGATCTGAGGACGACTGACTGTCAATGGCGCCGCTGGCGATGGCGGCTTTCCGCTGACGACGCTCCGATGACGATTGCCGTGGCGGAGGCGTTCCAATGACGGAGTTCCGATGACGATGGCGGTGCCGGTGGTGGCGGCGCTCCGATGGCGGCGCTCCGGTGGCGTGGGCGGTGCCGGTGCGGTGGCGGTGTTCCGGTTCACCCGAAAGTAGACACCCGTCGAGGACGAATCGCGGTCAATACCACCCCCAGGACTTCCGAGACCTGCCGGGAGGAGCCGCGGTCAATAGTGACGTCACTACGAGACATCCGGGAGCGGCGGAAACAGATACACTGTCATCGTTCCCGATTATAACCTCGGACTGATGACTTGTGCTAGATTGCAGTGTTCCAGAGGGAGGGTTGTGAAGGTGGGTCATCATCCTCGGAGGAGGGCTCCACGTCGACAGCCGATCCCACAGGTGATGATAGCGTTCGCTGAGGAAAATCCTACCGAAACTGAGAAAACACGGAAAAGAATCACAATAAAATGTTGACAGAAGTAGCGGTTTTTTAGTTGCCGAGGAAACACAGCATGTTTCCAATGTGAATGGCAGCAATGAACGCAACTGCCGCTGAAGGACTTCTTGGGAACGGACATTCACACCTCACTCGCACTTCAGTTTAAGGTATGTAAGTACATTCATTGAAATGTCAGAACTATTGGAAGTACTGTGACATTTCCTGCATGTGAAGGAATACTTCAGGCTTGATTTACGAGCAAGTGGAACTTGGACTTGCTGGTCGCTGGTAGCATTAATGGCTGTGCCCGTGCCTGCATGGGTTACATATGGCCGTCGGAGAATGAATTAGGCTAGAAATATTCCGTGCGACTGCTAAGAACTTTCATGAGCTGCACATTTCCATCCGAAAGGAAGGTGAAGCCATGTTATTACCAAGGAAAGAGTGGCATATCCGTGCTACCCAATATAATACCCGAGTCCGGCCCACTCTACGGTATGGAAATAAAGGATGATTAGATCTTTGCTCATTCCGTTAAGCATCAGCTTATCGTGGGCAAATCTATTTAATGCATATAACCTATGACAATGAACACCTGGTATCCAGCCTGGTCAGAGGGAATGGCATTGTTTAAGGCAAGCATGCAGGGGGAAGCTGTCGTTGTCAATGATATACGCTGCATTTGCTCCATCATCCTATAATTGAATACACCCAGGTCCCATCCAACCTTGGAATCGCTACAATTAAAAGCCGTGGTATTCAGGAGACCGGTGAACCCATTAGTGCTGCATCATCTCCTGGACAGATGTGAGCCTCTTAAACCTGCATGTAGCAATGCCACCGATGCCGTCACCTTCTTGGCACGCGGGCAATGCCGCGTGCCGTTGGGCTCCGAGTCGAGTCCAAGCTACATCTGCCCTGTGAGGGTCGGGTGCAGTCGCATGTCTGTCCGATAATATATGGAGCAGGAAATGTAGTTGCTGCTCCCTCTGACTTCATTTGAGGCAACAGTCGTGGTTTGCGTTGAACGGCCTTTTTGGCAACATTCTTTTCCCTGCACTTCCATCAAACAAATGTGCTTGCAAGGGTTAACAAATATTGGCGACAGCTCGTACAATGTTTCTCCTCTTTGTCACCGTAACAATGGTTTTATGTTCATCATGTAGCTGGACAACGACAAACTCGTTTTAACACGCAATGCGGTACGGCTCTCTTCAAGCAGCGTTGTTCATCGACGTCACTTGCGTCATGAGGCCCTCGAAACTACTCGTAGCGCAAACATCATGATAAAGGTAGCACCCGCCCCTCCCACCCTCTGACGACACGGCAGCGCGCGGTCATGCTCCGCGCCGCCGCGGCCGGGCTCGGCCGGATACCGCATAGGCCGGGTTCGGCCGGATGCCGCCGAGGCCAGGCTCGGCTGGATGCCGCCGAGGCCGGGCTCGGCCGGATACCGCCAAGGCCGGGCTCGGCCGGATACTGCCGAGGCCGGGCTCGGCCGGATGCCGCCGAGGCCGGGCTCGGCCGGATGCCGCCGAGGCCGAGCTCGGCCGGATACCGCCGAGGCCGGGCTCGGCCGGATGCCACCGAGCTCCGCCACGTCCGACCAGGCGAGCACGGGTGACTGCGAGCTCGCGTTCGCATGCACGCCGCACCCGCGCCAGAAACCGGCCGGAACTCCCCGAAGGGCGGTATCACACGAGAGGCCGCCAATCTGCCGCAGGCGGCGTTATTGACGCTCCTCGCCAGTGAACTACTCTACAGATTAGCACCGCCGGCGGCCGTTCGCGCGCCATTTATCGTAATAAAGGGGCGCTCGGGCCCGCGCTGTCCGTTGCCGGCGCTGCGAGCGGCGCGGGTGGTGTCGGACCGCCCGTCGGCGGGCTGGACACGGCCGGCCTCGTAATCACCGGTCGAAGCGGTAGTAAATTTTTACGCCCCCGCTGGGCGCGCGGACGGCGGACTGATTCAGCCGTTGTGAGCGCTTGCTGCAGCGGGGTGATGCCATCGCAGGCAAATAACCCTCCGCCTGGGGTGAAAAACAAGGCGGACCATCAGCTTTTACTGTGGAGAGATTATAAAACAGCACGCTCCACCCCAGGAGGACCAATAATTCTGCCGGTTTAATATGAAGGGGACGAACTTGTGCGCAGGCATATTGGTTATAGCGACTGGCTAGGATTTCAGGACAGCAGCATCTATCAGGGTACGGCTTCGGCTGGGCTTGGTGGGGTGGTATAACTTTGCTGCAATACTGGCTGCAATACTTAAGTTGCTATGATACTTCGCTAGAATACTATAAAACGAACATTGGAACGGAAAGGTACGGAGCTGTGCATACATACTAAAAGTGGCAACAAATATCCCCCCTCTCTCTCTATCTTTGGCTGCTAACCTTTCCTTCCCGCCTTTCGCATAGGAAATGAGTGATCAAAACAAACAAGAATAGCTCAAAACAGATTGATAAGCAGCCGGAAACGCTTTATCTCGTCCTGAAGAGGATGGAAATGAAGTTTGTGTAATGGACATATTGAAAATTCTTCAAAATATTTGTTCAGAAAACATTTCGGGCTGGTGGGATTTTTGAGGTGCCAGTGATAAGCAACGAAAACAACACAAAAGTGATTAAAAAAAACAGATGCTTACGATCGATGTTGATGATGTACATGGACTAGCCGAGCCAGTGATTGCGGGGTAGCAAATGAATGCGCAGATCCCGACTACCACCGAGCTGCAAAGCTATCCATAACATGTTTTTTAACAGAATGTCGAGTCCTATGATATAATCAGTGGCCCGATCAGATACGTTTTGCAAGATAGCGTTTTCTCACCACATGGTCGGTGATGGTATGTTGATTTGATCGATTGGGTCATCTTATCATTGTCATTAGGTTACTGTCATTAGGTTAGGTCGTTTAGGTTACTGTCATTAGGTTAGGTTATTTAGGTTACTGTCATTAGGTTAGGTTATTTAGGTTACTGCATTAGGTTAGGTTATTTAGGATACTGTCATTAGGTTAGGTTATTTAGGTTACTGTCACCGCAACGGTACTGTTCATTTGAAATTGCTGGTGAATACGAACTTTCTCTGTGAAATATTGTCTGACACAAATCGCTGATGGACTATATAACTGACGGCATACAAGTCATTCCTGGAACACATCGTTCATTCCGTCGACATATGTTGCTTTAATGCTGTCCATTATCCTCTCATTTCTCCCTCCAAAAGCAACTGTCTGAACCGAGTCGCACTGCCACGTTTAGTGTGCGTTTGAAACACGGAAAAAATGGCATTTGCAACTACAACGCAACTAGCTGCAACTACTAGAACTACAACTACAACTACAACCTTGTTTTAGATTTGACGCACGCATTTATCCATTTACACGCATAATTCTGGCGTTGGGAATGATGATGGGATGAGTGTAAAGTTAAAAACTTCGCCCTAAGACAACAAGGACATTCAAGTCGTCATGGCCTCGCCCCGAAGACGCCCATCGACGTGTCTGACTCCAACTATAACCTCACCTGACAAACGAGTGTGCGGACGTCAGTTCGAAGACGGACGCTATAGATCAGCATCTCCGCTCATGTGCGGCCACCTGCACCCAACAGACAGCGAGGTAGCACCCAACAGACAGCAGCGTGGCACCCAGCAGACAGCAGCGTGGCACCGAGCAGACAGCAGGGTGGCACCCATTGACCAGCAGCGTGACAACCAGCAAAGAGCAGCGCGTACGTGCCGCCGCCCGGCTCGGCCGGAGCGGAGCAGCGCGCGTCGTGCCGTACTCGGCCGTCGGGCGCGCACCACGATCAACAGCGCTCGCGATGCTTATTGGACGTCCCGCACTATGGCACCGAACTTTATTGACGACTGGACGGTGGCCATCTCCGCGTCCGGTGAATGTGGCGCGGCGCTGATATCAAACTGAAAACACGCTACTCGCCTGATCGACGCGTATTGATGCCCCACATCGTGTCTTTGCATGGCAGCTTTGCATTGCTTGCACATCTTGCCTTGCACATCTTGCCTTGCACACCTTGCCTTGCCTTGCATAGCTTCAAGCATTAACTCTGAATCCACCTCATATCATTTTCTCCTGCTGTCATAGCGCTCTGTGTCCTCTGTCCAGCTTTGTTCTGGCCTAGATTGTTGCGCTATTTCGAGGTGTGTAACTTAACTGCACGGGTTGTTGATCTGCTGCGTAGCACCCTCGTTGTTCCGTACCTCACAGAAGAACAACGGTTCATGTTTGTCTTCCGAATACAGCTTGCTATTTCGATATGTGCAACGCGCTAAACAAACCGGACGCAGTTCTTCCTTTCTAAAATGTGCTGCTGACGCTCGCCTAGTTTTGGCCCGCATAGCACGCCTTGCTCCTTCTTGTTGCCTTCCCTTCAGAACTCAGCACAGTGCCGTGGTCTTGCTCTGGGGCTTGGCATTCCAGAAGGCCATGCTAACGCGGATGGATTTTGCATTCCTTTCCAGAACATCCACAGTGCATTTCAAGC